TTTTTGCATCAGTTCATATCTGGTCACAGGGGATGTAGACAGATACAGAATTTCTGTTTTTGGAAACTGCATGAAGCTTTATCACACCAAGGAGGTGACAAATGGTTTCTCCAAAAGCTAGTTTAGTAAAATAGTCTAGTTGAAATAGACATCATAATAGTGTTTTCCTTCAGAAATATTTAAAAGCAAACATTTTCATTCAATTCAAGTCTCATATACTATACAGAGTGAAACTACTCAAAGATTCTAAAGATCATGTATTCTGACATCTATGATAAAGGCAGCTTTAAAAACCCTTTTTAACAAAGATTAAATTTTAACATTCTAAATGTTGACTTGGCATCTTTATTAAAAAGTTCAAAATTCCTGATTACAGGGTTAATTAAAATACTATATAGCAAAGATGTAAGTTTCTCATGTAAGAGAAACAATTTTGTTCTGCCATCATTGCTCCATATAATATAATCATCAGGCAATAGTATTATTACTCCTGCCCAAGGGTCTGCCTAACTTAGTTAAAAATAAATATTACAGTGGGGAGATATAGCTCAGTGGTAGCGTGCATGCCTAGCATGCACAAGGTCCCGGGTTCAATCTTCACTACTTCCATTAAAAATAAATAAACCTAATTACCTCCCCTCCAAAATGAACAAATAAATAAAAAATAAAATTAAAAAAATGTTAAAATTATGCATGTTTATTTAATATATACTGCTGCAATTTCCTTGACTATTTCTATAAAGAAAGTATCCAGAAAAAAATTAAGGCTTCAAATAAAATCTTCCAGGGAGAAAAGTGAGTTGCTACGAATAAGCCAGGAACAGTAAGAGTGTGAGAGGCAGACACAGAAGTGGGGCTGCCTGCAGCTTAGGAAGCCCTGCTGGAGAAATGACCCGAGGGAGCATAGTAAGGAGGTTTATGAATGTTCGTGGGAGGCAGTTCTGGACATAAAGGTCAATAATAACAAGGGAGGGTTTTTTGGAGTGGGTGAGGGAGACAAAGCGTGCAGTCAGAGGGTGGGCTTGGGCAGAGTCATGCATGAGCCGTGTGGAGGAGGCTGGAGGGTCAGAAATGCACACAGATGCCAAATGAGTCAGGTCAGTGTGAAGCTGGGGATGCCGAGAAAAGGGAGCAGATAAGAATGGAGCAAAAAAGGGCAGAATTACTGGAGCAGGTGATTTGTCGCCGAAGAGGAAGGGGGAGAGGTGAACAGTGAGGATGAGTTGGAGAACATGTCATGATACTTTGATGCACAAAAGTGAAGTATGCACATTGATTTGGTAAGATCAATGCTGTATATTCCTCTGAGAAAATAGCCATAGTGGTTCAAGAGGAGAAATCAACTAATTTGGGGGGGATAATTAGGTTTATGTATTTATTTATTTATTTGTTAGTGGAGGTACCGGGGATTGAACCCAGGACCTCATGCATGCTAAGCAGGCACTCTACCACTGAGCTATATCCTCCTCCCTCAATTTATTTTTAATGCTGAAGAAAACCCACAAAGTTTGCAAATGAGAAACATAAGGATTTGTTTTTAATGCCATGAATAGGTTGTTTGAGACTGAAGGAGGTACTAAGGACCCACACTAAACCATAGCAAAGGGAAGAAGAATTTCAGATGGATGAGTAGGGAAAATATGGTACCATGTATCAAACAACTTTGGCGTGTATAAATTTATTAGTTGGACTGACCCTGTTAAATTTATAATTATTTTGCATATCTGTGCAGCACACATCTAGGTTGATAAAATACTGCATAAGAACATTAAATGTACTTTGGCATCAAAGTTAAAAAGAGCCCATCATACTTAACTGAGTGCATTTCCCGCGTAAGGCATGTATAAATGAGCACTCTTCATAGCTTCCACTCAAGGACCATATACAGACATGAGTGGATATGCAAAGGAGTAAATACTAGTTTCTTCCACCAACTCATTTGCTTCTGAGGCTTAAAATATTGACTACATTTTCATTTTTCTACTGTGCTTTGTAAGGAAGTTAGTTTCAGAGCTTAAAAGACTGAAAAACAATGGACTTAAACAGAACTATTGTTTCCAGGAAAATCTGTGTTGTAATTTATAAGAGGAATAACAGGATTTTGTTTTGGTTTTTGTTTCACAATGTTGCAAAAGGTTGCATTCAGCTAATAGTGCTTAACTGTCATTTTTAGATTTCAGAGAATGCTGATAATTTTGGCAAAATTCATGGGAACTGTCCAAATGAGACAGAGTTTAAAATTACAGACAGAGGGTACCCCCAAATTCTTGAGTCACTTTTGGGAAGGGAGTTAAATGTATTAAATCCCTTTGGTTAGCTCTTCTCACAGCATCTTAGCAGTTGCTACCTTTGTATTGCAGACCCAGCGGCTGAGGTGAACTTCTGGTTAATGACCTTATTCAAGGTCACCGAATAAATAAGTTTCAGTCCTAGGACCAGACGTCTAACTTTAGACTCAATATGTGGAGCCTGCCTCCTGAGCTGAGTTGCCATTAATAGATTGTTAAATACTTTGAGTTTTCAAATCTGGTTTAAAAATTCAATGTGATTAAACCACAAAAACAGGTAACACATGTGTAATTTATGTACTTTTTGTAGTGTTGTTTAGTGCTGATTAAAAATCTAGATGCCCTCAAATTCAGCTTTAGAAATACTTTGGTTTGGCCAACAAACTGTTGGAAACTTTCGCTTTAAATTAGTTGCCAACATTGAAAAATTAGAAGTTTTGTGTAGCTGGCTTTCTGGCTTCTTAAAATCTTAAAAATCTGATGTGATGTATAGTGTAGTGGATGTAGACAATATTGTATTTTAATCATCAAACTTGCTAAGAGACTAAAACTTAATTATTTCAACCATTAAAAAGAAATGGTAGTTATGTAACATGACAGAGGTGCTAAATTATCACTACAATAGCAATCATAAAATGTGTCAAATTGACATGTTGTACACCTTAAATTTACACAATGTTATATGTCAAGTATGTTTTCATAAAATTTTTCTTGAAGAGCTGAGAACATTGGCCTATATTCTCAAATGACAAAAATCCCCGGGAGCTGGGCAGCACGGCCCCCTTTAGATGGCGTAGTTCATCACCATCTTCACATCATCTTCTTCATCCTTCACATTAAGAGCCTGGCTCTGCAGGCTCACGATTAGAGACCCCTGCTGTGGACGGGGTCTAGTCCCACCACCAGGTTAGAAGTGGTCAATAGTTCCAAGGCTGTTTTCCTGCGCATGCCAGTCAGAGCCTTTACAAGGAATTAGCCTATCTTTTTTTTTTTTCAGGAACATCCTTATTGCATTACAGAAGAAATGCCTATACCTATGTTTCAACTGACTTTTCAAAAATATTTTATCGAAGTATAGTCAGTTTACACAGTGGTGTCAATTTCTGGTGTGCAGCACACTATTTCAGTCATATGTGCACATACATACATTCATTTTCATACTCTTTTCATTCACAGGCTACAACAAGATACTGAATATAGTTCCCTGAAAGGATTATCCTTCCATCTTATCTTTCTCATCATCTTATCTTTCTCCACTTATCTTTCTCTGCTCCCTACCATCATCCTCCTGTTTCCTTTCCCAAACACTAGCCTTTCCCCAAATATAAAGTACACTGTTATCTATCTAAAATACTCATTGTGCCTAACTAAATACAATGTATATATGTCGATATGTATGAGTTTATGCATACTACTGATTCGCCTCGCCCAAAGGGCCTTCTCAGTAGTACCAGATACTCCAGGGCAAATGTCCACATCCTTCCTGTCAGTTCTAATATCACTTCTCTAGCTGACTTACATACAATGTGTCAGGTGTACAGCAAAGTGATTCAGTTACACACATATATATTCTTTTCCAGGTTGTTTTCCAAGTTATTACAAGATATTGAATATAGTTCTCTGGGCTATACAGTAGGTCCTTGTTGTTTGTCTATTTTATATATAGTTGTATGTATCTGTTAATCCCAAATTCCTAATTTATTCCTCCCCCACCTCCCCTTTGGTAACCATAAGTTTGTCTTCTATGTCTCTGAGTCTGTCTCTGTTTTGTAAATACATTAATTTGTGTCATTTTTTTAGATTCCACATGTAAGTGATAGCATATGATATTTGCCTTTCTCTGACTTGCTTCACTTAGTATGATCATCTCTAGGTCCATGTATGTTGCTGCAAATGGTAATGTTTTATTCTTTTTTATGACAGTAATATTCTATTGTGTACACACACACACACACACACACACCTTCATTATTTCATTCTTTTTGATGGCTGAGTATTATTCCAGTACCACTTCTTCCATGAAGACTTCTCAGATCATCCCACTTCCGTCCTCTCCAGTGTTCCTCACTTCCTCCTGTTGGATCTTCTATACATGGCATCTTGCCTTATGGTAATATGGCTATTTATCTACCCAGCCCACCCCTACCCTGTTCTGTGTTATTTGCATCTTTGACCTCAGGATCTGGCTTTCTTCTCTGCCTTCTTCCACTCCAGATTACCTCTGATAGGAATCCCCTTGCCCTGCAAGGTCTGGGCAAGCACCACTGTTAGCCGAGCATGTTGGTCCAGCCAGCTTGACCTACCAAGAAAGGGGAATTGGACATTTCCCTCTAAACTGTTGCTTCAGGGACACTTCCACATGTCCTTGGCAAAAGGGATAAGTTTGTAGTGATGTATTAATCCCTGACCTTGGGAAGTATGGCAAGGACAAAAGAAATACAAATTCCTAATATCTGGAGCCCAATGTGTTGTCCAACCAATCGGATACTTGGGTGGAGCCACTTGCCTGCTATTCAAAGATGCTGTAAGATCCCACTTTCGTTCCTACTGCCCACAACCAAGAGCTCACATGCAACCCAGCAAGCTGCCGTGCTTAGTTTTCTTGTTTTGTTTTGTTTGTGTTTGCACTTTAAAAAACAAACACACAGAGCCCTTGATTTATGTGGAGGCCTAAAAGCATGGTGTTTCTGTTGCCTCCCTGGTTGTGCAAAGGCAGAGTTTTCATCGGGACAACTGACAGCACAGCGGGTCATTCAGGACACAGGTAGGAGAACTCTGCATTTAGCTGGGGTGGTCCAAAGCAGCTTTTGCAGAACAAACT